GCATGGCATGGTAGCGTATGTCTGTGGTCCTAGACGTACTTGGGAAGCTGAGGTAGGAGGATTGCTTGAGCCCAGGAGTTCAAGGCTATAGTCAGCCATGATTGTGACACCGTACTTTAGCCTGGGTGACACAGCAAGACTCTGTCTTAAAAAAAAAAAAAAAAAAAAAAAGAAACACTCTAGGCTGGGCGCAGTGGCTCATGCCTGTAATCCCGATACTTCGGGAGTCAGGGGCGGGTGGATCACCTGAGGTCAGGAGTTCAAGACCAGCCTGGCCAACATGGCAAAACCCCATCTCTACTAAAAATACAAAAATTAGCTGGGCATGGTGGTGCATGCCTGTAATCCTAGCTCCTCTGGAGGCTGAGGCGGGAGAATTGCTTGAATCTGGTAGGTGGAGGTTGCAGTGAGCTAAGATCGCACCATTGTACTCCAGGCTAGGTGACAAGAGCGAAACCCCGTCTCAAAAAACAAAACAAAACAAAAGCTAAAATTTGGTGAACTGGTTATGATTGCTAGGCACTATTCAGATTGTTGTGCATGTGTCTGTGAAGTAGATCCTGTTATTATCCCCATTTTACAGACTAGGAGACTGAAACACACAATGATTAGGTAACTTTTTAAAGGCTCACAGCTCATAAATGGCATATTCAGAAATTGAATCCAGACTGCTTGGTTGCAGATATACAGTATTTTTGGGTTTTTTTGAGACAGAGTATTACTCTGTCACCCAAACTGGAGTGGAGTGGTGTGATCTTGGCTCACTGCAGCCTCTCCCTCTCAGGGTCAAGCGGTTCTCTTGCCTCAGCCTCCGCAGTAGCTGGGATTACCAGCACATGCCTCCATGCCCAGCTAAGTTTTGTATTTTTAGTGGAGACAGGGTTTCACCATGTTGGTCAGGCTGGTCTCCAACTCCTGACCTCAGGTGATTCTCCTGCCTCGGCCTCCCAAAGTGCTGGGATTATAGGCATGAGCCACTGCGCAAGTACCAGAAATACGGTATTATCATGAGTACATAACTGTAAGTGTTAAAAAGCATCAGAGATAGAAAACTCCTCAGTAATTTGTTAATTAGGTAGATTCTTTGATTTTCTGTTAATTAGGTAGGCTCTTTTTCTGTTTTTTCACATAATTTTTCTATTTGGACGCTCGAGTCAAATGGATAGAATTACGTAAAAAACCTATTTAAGCATAACTATACTATTTTACTAATAGATAATGTTACAGTGCTGGGTGTATATTAGGAACTAGGAAATACTTGACTGGTTGGTTGCTGCCTGTGTTTATGGATGTGTACTTTATCTGGTCCAACATCAGTTTTTCCACATGTCAAATACAGGAACTCTGGATTTTTAAAAAGCTGCTAATTAGAACATTGGTACTTGTAATGATTAATACCTATTTCCCAGTTGGTGGTGCAACAAGTTAGGCATCTTTAAAAAGAGCCGGTTCTTTTCTGCCTGCCAACCTTGTGACCTGGACTGCAGCCTTTGAAGTTATGCTTCAGTGTGTCTTCCATAGGTACCTGCTAATTCTTGGATTCAGTTTGTCCTACTGTAAGAATTTTTGGACATGATTACTTGTACTCCAAGTTTATCTTGCTACAAGGAGTGAGTGGTGGTAGAGAAGCCCGTTATACCCACTTTGGTAGACCTGGACCTGGTTCAGAGTATCACTATTGAGAACTCTGTTTACCTCATTGCTGAACCATGATATACTTTTTATTTTTATATCAATATGTATTTATTTATTTTGAGACAGGCAGGGTCTGACTCTGTTGCCCAGGTTGGAGTGCAGTGGCATGCACAGCTCACTGCAGCCTTGACCTCCTGGGCCCAAGCAGTCCTCCCGCCTCAGCCTCCTGAGCAGCTGCGACCAGAGCTTTACCACCACACATGGCTAATTTAATTTTTAAATTTGTTTTGTAGAGACAAGGTCTCCCTATATTGCCCAGGCTGGTCTCGAACTCCTGGCCTTAAGCCATCCTCCTGCCTTGACCTCCCAAAGTGTTGGGATAACGAGCGTGACCCATTGTGTCCAGCTGACTATACTTTTTAAGAAAGGCCAGAGAAGCTATCAGGATCCTTAATTTGGTGGCAGCAATAGGATAGCTCTTAAAGATACAGGTGTGTCTAGTGTTCGAGCAATCTCTAGAGTGCTTCAGAGAAAGCCTTGCATCTTTTTCCTTTTCTCTGTGTTTTTTGAAACTCTGTCACCCAGGCTGGAGTGCAGTGCTGTGATCTTAGCTCATTGCAACCTCTGCCTCCTGGGTCCAAGCGATTCTCGTGCATCAGCCACTTGAGTAACTGGGACTAGAGATGCGTGCCACTGCACTCAGCTAATTTTTGTATTTTCAATAGAGACGGGGTTTTGCCATGTTGGCCAGGCTGCTCTCAAACTCCTGGCCTCAAGTAATCCATCTGCCTCAGCCTCCCAAAGTGCTGGGATTACAGGCGTGAGCCCTGCCTCTTTTCCTTTTAACAGTTGTTAGGTTAGAGGCCAGGCGTGGTGGCTCACACCTGTAATCCTAGCTCTTTGGGAGGCGGAAGCGGGTGAATCACCTGAGGTCAGGAGAGTTCGAGATCAGCCTGGCCAACATGATGAAACCCCGTCTCTACTAAAAATACAAAAATTACCTGGGCGTGGTGGCGGGCATCTTTAATCCCAGCTACTTGGGAGGCTGAGGCAGGAGAATTGCCTGAATACAGGAGGCAGAGGTTGCAGTGAGCCGAGATCACGCCATTGCACTCCAGCCTGGGTGACAGAGCGAGATTCAAACAAACAAAAAAACCCAAACAGTTGTTAGGTTAGGATCCTAGAATAGAGATGCTGTCACCATCATTATTTAGAAGGGTGGCTATAACCACAATTTCTAGTGAACTTTTCCTGGTTTAAACCATGCCATATCACTTCTGCATGATTTTCTGTCCTCCAAAATGAGGCGTTGCCTTAGTTCAGTTGTGAAAGTGTCATGAGCAGCTTGTAAGAATCTTGGATCTTATGTAAAATTTGCCTAGGTGGTTCTATTTATTTTATTTTAATTTATTTATTTTTAGACAGTCTTGCTCTGTTGCCCAGGCTGCAGTGCAGCAGTGCAATCTTGGCTCATTGCAACCTCTGCCTTCCGGGTTCTTCTGCCTCAGCCTCCAGAGTAGCTAAGATTACAGGCACGCACCACCATGCCTGGCTAATTTTTGTATTTTTAGTAGAGACAGGATTTCACTAATGGCCACGCTGGTCTTGAGCTCCTGACCTCAGGTGATCTGCCTGCTTCCGCCTCCCAAATTGCTGGGATTACAGGTGTGGGCTGCTGCACCTGGCCTAGGTGGTTCTATTTATACTTCATCTTAGATTATAAGATTCTTGAAGATCAATTGTCTGTTTTTTTTTTTTTTTGAGACGGAGTCTCGCTCTGTCGCCCAGGCTGGAGTGCAGTGGCCGGATCTCAGCTCACTGCAAGCTCCGCCTCCCGGGTTCGGGCCATTCTCCTGTCTCAGCCTCCTGAGTAGCTGGGACTACAGGCGCCCACCACCTCGCCTGGCTAGTTTTTTGTATTTTTTTAGTAGAGACGGGGTTTCACCGTGTTAGCCAGGATGGTCTCGATCTCCTGACCTAGTGATCCGCCCGTCTCGGCCTCCCAAAGTGCTGGGATTACAGGCTTGAGCCACCGCGCCCGGCCTGTTTTGTTTTTTTTTTTAATGTTTACTGTGGAACACTGTATCCAATAGCCATTCAGGATTTGAATGTTGTATAGAGTTTACATTTAATTTTACTTTTGTTCTTTAAGGGAATAAGTCATCCACAGATATTTGAATAATCTCTTCTTTGTTTTTGTTTTTGAGACATAGTTTCACTCTTGTCACCCAGGCTGGAGTGCAGTGATGTGATCTCGGCTAACTGCAAGTCCGCCTCCTGGGTTTAAGTGATTCTCCTGCCTCAGCCTTCTGAGTAGCTGGGATTATAGGCATGTGCCACTATGCCTGGCTAATATTTTTGTATTTTTAGTTGAGACGCGGTTTCACCATGTTGGCCAGGCTGGTCTCGAACTCCTGACCTCAGGTGATTTGTCTGCCTCGGCCTCCCAAAGTGCTGGGATTACAGGCATGTGCCACTGCACGCCTGGCCTAGGTGGTTTTATTTAGACTTCATTTCAGATTATAAGATTCTTGAAGATCTCGTCTCTTTTTTTTTTTTTTTTTTTTTTGATGTTTATTGTGGAACATTGTATCCAATAGCCATTCAGGATTTGAACCTTGTATAGAGTTTACATTTAATTTTACTTTTATTCTTTAAGGAAATAAGTCATCCACAGATATTTGAATAATTTCTTCTTTTTTTTTGAGACAGGATCTCACTCTATCACCCAGTCTGGAGTGTAGTGGCACAATCATGGCTTACTGCAGCTTCGACCTCCCTGGCTCAGATGATACTCCCACCTTAGCCTCCTGAATACCTAGGATTATAAGCTCACACCACCATGCCTGGCTAATTTTTGTATGTTTTGTAGAGACGAGGTTTTGTCATGTTGACCAGGCTGGTCTCAAACTGCTGGCCTCAAGCGATCCTCCTGCCTTCGTCTCCCAAAGTGTTGGGATTACAGGTGTGAGCCATCGTGCCCAGCTGAGTAATATCTTCTCAATTGCAATTAACTTTAAATGTAATTTTAGATTTTGTGCTTTTTCTTTTTTTTGCTCACACTCTGAGCAAGTGTGGTTTGTTCTGAGTCAACCTCGGACTTTAAAATGGAATACTAGACAGAGAATAGGAAAGCTTTTTTGTATACTCATTATTTGTCTTGAAACAAAACCAATTTAAGAGCAGTTTGCAGCAACCATGAGAAAGGGATAAATAGGAAAGGTTCTAGCCTATAAGAATTATTTAGGGGAGAGAATACTATAGTTCTTATCTTAATATCCAGTATTGGATGGAGAAACAGATATTCTTCTTGTCAGAATATTAGTATAACCAGAAAGATCCGTCAAATTGCAAGGCATACATACCCTTTGAGCCAGCAATTCTGCTTTTAGGACTTGATCTTACAGAACTTCTCACACAACTTTGTAGAAATATACATACTGATGTGTTCATTGTAGATTTATTTTTTCTCTGAGTTTTCTTGCTAGGAAACAGAATTGTTTTAATATCAAAAAATGTTTTAATATCACAAAATGCAAGCAAATTTTATCTTTATACTTTTCTATACTTCTAGTTTTCCTGAAATGAGTAGATAGATATATAATGGGAAAAGGTATTATTTTAAAATTTGCACGTTTGAGGCTGGATATGGTGGCTCAAACCTTTAATCCCAGCACTTTGGGAGGCCGAGGTGGGTGGATCACTTGAAATGAGGAGTTCAAGACCAGCCTGACCAACATGGTGAAACCCCGTCTCTACTAAAAATACAAAATTAGCCAGGCCTTGTGGTGCATGCCTATAATCTCAGCTACTAGGGAGGCTGTGGCAGGAGAATCGCTTGAACCCGGGAGGCTGATGTTGCAGTGAGCTGAGATTGTACCATTGCACTCCAGCCTGGGCAACAACAGTGAAACTCTGCCTCAAAATAAATAAGTAAATACATAAATACATAAAATAAAATAAGATTTGCACATTTAGACATCAGATAGAGAAAATGCCACTTTACATTTATTTTTATTCCCTTCCTTGCTTGACAGTATGACTGGTTCTGATGAAGGGAGCATTGATGGAAATCTGCTGTAAACAACTCCTTTTAAAAAAAAAAAAATTAAATAGAGATGTAGTTTTGCTCTGTTGCCCAGGCTGTTGTGCAATGGAGTGATCATAGCTCACTGTAGCCTCAAACTTCTGAGCTCAAGTGATCCTCCCACCTCAGCCTTCCAAGTAGCTGGGACTGCAGGTGCACACTACCATATCTGCGTAATGTAAAAAAATTTTTGTTAGAAGGTCTCACTGTGTTGCCCAGGCTGGTCTTGAACACTTGGCCTCATGTAGTCCTTCCACCTTGGCCTCCCACCATGAGTGAACCTCTATGCTCTGCCTGAAAACAACTCTTAATCTTCCCTTTCCTAGTAGTAGAAAGGTAGTCATGTTAACTGTCATTATCATTTGAGAACAGACCTTTTTCTAACTTAGGGGAACATATTTCAAATATTTTTGTTACAGAATGCTAATCCTTCAAGAATTCTGTCGATTTTCCCCTGGTAATGTATTATGAATATGTTCATTTTGCTGTTACTTCAGCATTAGCTGTATGTTAAAAATTTTAAATAAACTTGTGTTTACTTTCTGGTCATAAAAACATAATTTATTGTTGACATATAGAAAATATGGAAAAAGACACTACTCCTCCCCTTATCTGTAATTCCATTGCGCAGAAATACTACTGACATTTTGGTATATCTTTAATGCATTTTTTTCCTATTCTTTTTTGAAACAGAGTCTTGCTTTGTTGCCCAGGCTGGAGTGCAGTGGCGTGAACATAGCTCACTGTGTCCTCCACATCATGGGCTCAGGTGATCCTCCTGCCTCATCCTCTTGAGTATCTGGGACCACAGGCATGTACCACTGTGCCTGGCTTATTAAAATAATTTTTTTGGTAGAGCTTGGGTCTAATGTTATTGTCCAGACTGGCCTCAAACTCCTGTGCTCAACTGATCCTCTTGCCTCGACCTCCCAAACTGTTGGGATTACAGGTGTGAGCCACTGAGCCTGGCCCATTTTTCTTTTCTTTTCTTTTTTTTTTTTTTTTTGAGACTGAGAGTCTTGCTCAGTCGCCCAGGCTGGAGTGCGGTGGCGCAATCTCGGCTCACTGCAAGCTCCACCTCCCGAATTCACACCATTCTCCTGCCTCAGCCTCCCTAGTAGCTGGGACTACAGGCGCCTGCCGCCACACCTGGCTAATTTTTTACATTTTTAGTAGAGACGGGGTTTCACTGTGTTAGCCAGGATGGTCTCAATCTCCTGACCTTGTGATCCACCCACCTCGGCCTCCCAAAGTGCTGGGATTACAGGTGTGATCCACCGTGCCCCGCCTTAATTTTTCTTTTCTGTAATAATTGTATGTGTGCTCACTGCTGGATTTTGGCCACATCTGACTGACAGAGAAGCCTCATTACTTGGCGTTGGTAGCTGCCTCTCATGTTAAGTAATGTTTATTCTTCAGTGCAGCTGTTGTCATTTTTGCTTGTTCTAGCTTGGTTGGTTGGTTTTTAAATATGTGAGAAATAATGATTGCAAAATGAACAATGGAACAGCAAGAGGAGAGAGAACAGTTAAAAGCTGGGAAAATTCCATCGTTCAGTAGTTGATAGATATGACTGATAAGTTTGATACAGATAAAGGAGCAGAATGGAAGTTGAGTAAGAAGAGTGATAACGCAGAAAGAGCACTCATGAAAAAACTAATCCAGTATCACTGTTTTGGAATAAGCAAAGATTTATTAAGATTGTGAAGATATTCTCAAATATATTCATCTAGATGCTTTACTGCTCCACTTTTTGTATCTTAGTCAATTTTACTCGATGTGTATATGGTGTGAGGCTGGGTCAGTTAGGAAACGCAATTTAAAGTGATGTTTATATTATCATCCAGAAACATCAAATGAATCTAAAGAAACATCTGTAAAACCTTTACATACAAACTAAAGTATTGCTGAAAGAATTAAAGAAAATTTAAGTAAATGTGGGATATATCATTACAATATTTGAGTTTCCCCCAAATTGATCTAGTGATTCAATATAGGTCCAAATAAAATCTCAGCGGGATTGTGTGTGTATGTATAAATTGAGAATTTGATTCAAAAAAAAGGGAAGGACTAATAACAAGGGTTTTTCAAATTATTATTTCTTTATGCCCAGATGTCCCCCAAGACTTTTTCCAAGAGTTTATGAAATCAAGACTATTTTCATAACAGGAAGATGTTACCTACCTTTTTTCTGTGTTGATTTTGCTCTGCTGGTTCCATAGCACAAATCAGTAGTACGGGGCCGAGCTAGTTAGTAGTTGTGTTCTAGAACGCTGTGCATTCACAGTTTAAGAAAAAAAAACAAAGGCAAGTTCTACTTAAGAATGTTCTTGGCAAAGTAGTATAATTTATTAGCTTTAATAAATTTTGGCCCTTCTTTATAATTGAGGTGAAATTCATATAACATCAGATTAACCATTAACCATATACAGTGGCATTTAGGACATTGACAGTGTTTGCAACCATCACCTCTGTATTGTTTCAAGACATCACACATCTTTTTTTTTTTTTTTTTTTTTTTTTTTGACAGAGTCTTGCTCTGTCGCCTGGAGTGCAATGGCGTGATCTCGGCTCACTGCAACCTCTGCCACCCAGGTTCAAGTGATTCTCCTGCCTCAGCCTCCCGAGTAACTGGAATTACAGATGTGCACTGCCCCACCTGGCTTATTTTTATATTTTTAATAGAGACAGTGTTTTACCATGTTGGCCAGGCTGATCTCGAACTCCTGGCCTCAGGTGATCCACCTGCCTTGGCCTCCAAAAGTACTGGAATTACAGGCATGAGCCACTGTGCCCGGCCAACATCACACATCTTGACCTGTGAACTCAGAAGTACACCTAAACCCGCTTCTGTTGCATATTGATGTGTAATGGTTTTCTTTTCTTTTTGAGAGAGAGGGTCTCGCTCTGTTGCTCAGGCTAGAGTATAGTGGTGTCATCACAGCTCACTGCAGCTTTGACCTTCTCAGCCTAAGCAATCCTGCCACCCCAGCCTCCCAATTAGCTTGGACCCCAGGTGCACGGCACCATGACTGGCTAATTTTTAAATTTTTTGTAGAGACAGAGTCTAGCTATGTTGCCTAGGTTGGTCTTAAATTTCTGGGTTCAAACAATCCTCCTATCTTGGCCTCCCAAAGTGTTGGGATTACAGGGATGAGCCACTGGGCCCAGCTGGTTATCTTGAGAAAACATGGGATTGTTTGAATCGTGAGCTGAACTAGCTGCGTTTTTCATGGAATACCATTTTTACTTGAAGGTCATCAATGAAAGCTAAACTATGTTTATTTAGACATGGGTATTTTATTGGCTTTTTTTGAAAAGTCATGGTTATTTCATAGATATTCATGTGAAACTAGTTGTCAGCCATTCACAATGTATACATACATCAAAACATGTTGTACACTGTAAATATACAATTTTTGTCAGTTATACCTCAGTAAAGCTATTAAGGTAGACATTGAAGCAATTTGCAAAAATGTGAAACAGCGTCACTCTTATTAGAGTTTTATATTTGTTTTGGAAAATAGTAATTATAACAAATACTGCTAATTTGTAACACGTTTTTATTTTAAATTAGTAAATGTTAAGTTTCTTCTCAGTTTTAATTTCAACATGGTAGATGTTGATAAATATCCAACATAAGATCTTTGAGTTCCTCAATAGTTTTTATGAACGTAAAGGAATCTTTAAACAATTTTTTGACTATTTTTTTTTTTTTTTTTGAAATGGGATCTTGCTTTGTTGCCAAGGCTGATCTTGAACTCCTGGCCTCAAGTAATCTTCCCACCTTAGTCTCTCAAAGTGCTGGGATTGTAGGTGTGAGCTGCCACACCTGGCCTCCATGTAAAGGAATCTTGACAAACAAAAGTGCTGGAGGACTTATGTTGCTTATATCATTAGATAGGAAGACACTTGTAAAGTTAGAATAATTAAGATAGGGTATATTAGTAAGTGGATTGAAAAATAAGCGGATGAAACAATACAAAACCCAGAAGAGATTCACGTGTATAATACAACTTTGTTTATGACAAAGTCTCCATGGTAATATAATGAGGAAAAGGTAGTTGTTTTAGTAAATGGTACCAAGTCAGTTGGATGGTATATGGTGGGCGTGTCTTGCCAGACAGCAATAACTCAAACATACCTTGAGAATGATCCTGTGTTCCTTGGTGAATGTTTGTTGAGTGTTCCAATAATGGTCAACCCTGATGTTTATGCCATACCTATGAAGGACACCTGGATCCTGGCGTGTGCCTTGGAATGCAGGTGGTACCAGGAACTGAGGCCCATTGTTTTGAGCTAGGTGGAGGCTGCTAAGTGGTGGTTGCTATGCGAAGGGTACTTACTATAAAACCTGCATGCTTTTTATAAAAAGGAATGGTTTTTCCTGTCCAGCCTTCCCCTCCTGAACTCCCTGGACATAAGTTTCCTGAATCAAGCTTATGTCATGCTGCTGTCTTTGGGTCTTTTCTTCAGTCTTCTAGAGGCAATACTCTCCCAGCTTGCAAGCTTGGGAATCCAGCACAACAGGTGGCCATAGCAGGGGAAAAGTTAGGACTTCCCTTTTTCTTCTCTTTCTTTTTCCTTTGCTAGTTTTTGTTGAAGAAACTGGGGTTTTGTTTCCTTTTCACTGTTTGGATTTTGCTGATTGTATCCCCATGGTGTTTTACCATGCTCCTTGAGTTCTTGTGTTAGTAGTTCAGATTTTTTTTTTTTTTTTTTTTTTTTTTTGAGACAGAGTCTTGCTCTGTCGTCCAGGCAGGAGCAGTGGCGCAATCTCTGCTCATGGCAACCTCTGCCTCCCAGGTCAAGCCATTTTCCTGGCTCAGCCTCCCAAGTACCTAGGACTACAGGTGTGCGCCACTACACGCGGCTAATTTTTTTGTATTTTTAGTAGAGACAGGGTTTCACCATGGTGGCCAGGCTGGTCTCGAACTCCTGACCTTAGGTGTGATCCACCCACCTTGGCCTCCAAAGTGCTGGGATTACAGGCTGAGCCACTTTGCCCAGCCTGGTAGTTCAGATTTAAAGGTACGGTTGGAGAGGTAAAAGGAAGGAGCAAATGCAAGAGACAGAAAGGTAGTGGTGTCTAACGGGAAGAGTATAATTTGCTTGTTGCTTTTTGGGATGTTGCTGGAAGTCGATTATTGCCTAGCGATCCGTAATTCAGACTTCTCTGTTTAGTATTTGATTTTATTTTTATTTCAACAAAACTGAATTACTTTTATTATAAAATACAATTTTTAATATTATTTTTGGATTTTTATTAATTTTCATTTTGTATCTTAATATATATTCACTTTTATTTCTTTTTTTGGTTTTAATGTATATTAACTTATAGCAGAGCTTCTCAACTTTGTCAGATTCAACCTTTTAAATATTTTGTAACCTATACTATTCTGCTATGAAATTCATAATTTAATAGTAGACACTTGATACATGATCTTTCTTTGCATTGAATTTTGGGTTGAAAATTATTTTCCCTCAAAACTTTGAAGATGTTTACCCCATTGTTATCAGACATCCATTGTCATTGAATGTGAGTTTTATACCACATCAGTTCTCCATTCTTTGCATGTTACCTGTTTCCTCTGTGAAATCTTTTTAGAATTTTCTTATTTGTTGCATCCTAAAATTTTACAGTGATGCATCAATGGTAAGGATATTTGGTACACCATTATAATTTGAAGATCTGTTTTGCTTTATTTATTTATTTATTTTTTTGAGACGGAGTCTCGCTTTGTTACCGAGGCTGGAGTGCAGTGGTGCCATCTTGACTCACTGCAACTTTTGCTTCCCAGATTCAAGTGATTCTCCTGCCTCAGCCTCCCGAGTAGTTGGGATTACAGGCACCCGCCACCATGCCTGTCTAATTTTTGTATAGTTAGTAGAGGCGGGATTTCACCATGTTGGCCAGGCTGGTCTCGAACTCCTGACCTCAGGTGATCCGCCCGCCTCAGCCTCCCAAAGCTTTCGGATTACAGGTGTGATCCACCGTTCCCGGCCCGTTTTCTCATATTTTCCATTTTTCTTTCTTTCCTTTTTTTGGAGGTGGAGGTCCCTGAGCTAAATCTTTGATTTTTCTAGCACATCTAGTGATATTTTAATTTTGCCAATCATGTTTTAAAATTTGTTTTATGGGCCGGACACGGTGACTCATGCCTGTAATCCCAAGACTTTGGGAGGCTGAGGCGGGCGGATCATGAGGTCAGGAGATCGAGACCATCCTGGCTAACATGATGAAACCTCGTCTCTACTAAAAATACAAAAAAATTAGCTGGGTATGGTGGCGAGCGCCCAGCTACTCGGGAGGCTGAGGTAGGAGAATGGTGTGAACCCGGGAGGCGGAGCTTACAGTGAGCAGAGATCTGCACTGTGTTGTTGCCTAAATTGTTTCTTCAAGTTCAGTTGTTGATTTTTTGTATTTTTTTTTTTTTTTGAGACGGAGTCTGGCTCTGTTGCCCAGGCTGGAGTGCAGTGGCCGGATCTCAGCTCACTGCAAGCTCCGCCTCCCGGGTTCAGGCCATTCTCCTGCCTCAGCCTCCCGAGTAGCTGGGACTACAGGCGCCTGCCACCTCGCCCGGCTAGTTTTTTGTATTTTTTTAGTAGAAACGGGGTTTCACCGTGTTAGCCAGGATGGTCTCGATCTCCTGACCTCGTGATCCGCCTGTCTCGGCCTCCCAAAGTGCTGGGATTACAGGCTTGAGCCACCGCACCCGGCCAGAATTTTTGTATTTATCTTTGTGCTGTAGTCTGTTCTCAAGTATTAGATGATTAATAGTTATCTATTGTTATTAAAAACCAAGGTAGTAAGGCTGAACAGGAGCTTCATTTTTTTTTTTTTTTTTTTTGTAGATGGAGTCTAACTCTGTCACCCAGGCTGGAGTGCAGTGGTGCAATCTCGACTCACTGCAACCTCTGCTTCCTGGGCTCAAGTGATTCTCCTGCCTCAGCCTTCTGAGTAGCTGGCATTAAAGGCACCCACCACCATGCCCAGCTAATTTTTGCATTTTTAGTAGAGACGGGGTTTCACCATGTTGGCTAGGCTGGTCTCAAACTCCTGACCTCATGATCCACCCGCCTCGGCCTCCCGAAGTGCTGGGATTACAGGCATGAGCCACCGTGCCTGGCCTAGGAGCTTCAGTTTTATGGGCTGACTTTGTCTTCAGGCAGTTGTGAAGTTGACTTAGAAATTCTTTTTTTTTTTTTTTTTTTTGAGACGGAGTCTCACTCTGTCCCCCTTGCTGGAGTGCAGTGGCCGGATCTCAGCTCACTGCAAGCTCCGCCT